GATCCACTTTCTGATACAAAATATATACTCCCAAGCCACGCCCCAATTCCCATCTCCTCCAGCCACACCCTACCACTTCAGTTACCACTCAGTTAATCCCTATCAGGGGATTAATTCACTGATTGGGACCAAACTCTTACCACCCAATCATTTCTCCTCTGAATATTTTTGCATTGTCTTATACGTGAGCTTTTTGGGGATACCTCACATTCAAAACATAACAGCTGAGTCATATGGTGGTCCCAATTCTAGTCTTTTGAGGAATCTTTATACTGCTTTCCAAAGTGGTTGTATTAATTTGAAGTCCTCATCAACGATATATGTGTATAAATTTCCTTGTCAGCATTTATTATTATTTTTTGTATTCCTAATGATTGCCATCATAATTGGAGATAAAAATCAATGTATTTTTGATTCGCTTTGTCCTGATTGCTAGGGATATTGAACATTTTTTCCATATATTTGTTGGACATTTGTATTTATTTTGAGAAATGTCTGTTTAGTTCTTTTGCCCATTTATTAATAGGCTCATTTTTTTCTGGCATTAAGTTTTTTGATGTTATATTTTGGATGTTAATCACCTGTATGGGGAGTGGCTGGCAAAATTTTCTCTCATTTTGTGAACTTTTTCCTTCATACTTTTAATTGTTTCTGTTGCTTTTAAGGAAGTCAGTGCCTGTGCTTATATGTTGGAGTATTAATCTTAAGTTTTCTTCTAGCAGTTGTGGTATGTTTCTGATCTAATTTCTAGGTCTTCAATCCACTTTGAGTTGACTTTTGTGCAAGGTGAAAGATAAGGATCTACATATAGATATCCAGCTTTCCTAGCACCATTTATTTAAAAGTTGATCTTTTCATCAGTGTATTTTTTGACACCTTTGTCAATATCAGAAGAATGTATATAGATGGATTTGTCTCTGCGTCTTCTATGCTGAATCACTGGTCTTCACATCTGTTTGTTGCTAACACCATGCTGTGTTAATTACTTTAGTTTTATAGTATAATTTGAGATCAGGTATTATGATGTGTTCAGTATTTTTCTTCTAACTTGGTATTGCTTTGATTCTTCTGTTTCTTTTATTCTTCCAAATGAATTTTAGGAATGGTTTTTCTAGTTCTCTGAAGAATGTCATTGGTATTTTGATGTGGATTGCTTTGATTCTGTATAACATTTTTATTAATATTGCCATTTTGACAATATTAATTCTGCCTGTCCAAGAACATGGGAAGTCTTTCCATCTTCTAAAGTCCTCTTCAATTTCTTTCTTTAGTGCTCAAAACTTTCTTTTGTAGAGGTTTTTCACCTCCTTGTTTAAATACCGGATGATTTCAACACTCTCGCATACCAATACATAGGTCATCCAGCCATAAACTAAGTGAAGACTCTTCAGATCTAAATAAATGCTATTAATCAAATGGACTTAATAGACATTTATAGAACATTTCATTCATCAACTGAATCCACTTTCTTCTCATGTGTACATGGAACTTTTCTCTAAAATATATTTTAGGATACAAAGCACTTCTTAGCAAATACAAAAAAACAGAGATAATTCCTGTATCCTATCAGATCATAATTGAATGAAATCACAAATCAATAACAAAATAAAAAATCATTTTACCAGTTGGTGATAAAATGATATACTTTTGAATGTAAAAGAAATCAATGGAGAAATGAAAAAAAAATCTTAGAAACAATTAAACATAGAGACAACATATCAAAATCTTTGGGACATTGTGAAGGCAGTTCTAAGAGATAAGTTTATACAAGTGAGTGTCTTCATTAAAAAAAAAAAAAGGCAGAAACATCCCAAATAAATAACCTAACATTACACCTCAAGGTCCTAGAAAACAAAGAACAAACTAATTCCAAAGTTAAAAGACAGGAAATAATTAGGATCAGAGGTAAAATTAATGAAAGTGAGAATAAAATTACAAATGATACAAAGGATCAATGTAACAAAGATTTGGTTCTTGGAAAAGATAAACAAGATAGATAAACCCAACCCTTAGCTAAAGTAACCAAAAGAAAGAGAAAGTCCAAATCAACAAAATTAGAGACAAGAAAAGAGATATTGCCATAGACACTTCTGAAACCCAGAGGACCATTAGAAACTACTATACGCCAATAAATGTGAAAGACTAGAAGGTATTGACTGATATCTAGACATATATGACCTTTAGGTCAGATGAACATGGACTGAACCTCTGAAACCATGAACCAAAATATACTTTACTTTTTCTACAATTTTCTTGTCAGGTTTTTGGTTCTCAGTGATGAAAAATCTAACTAAAACAATATCCAAACCAGGCAAAGACACATCAAGGAAAGAAAGCTACAGACCATATCCCCGATGAACGTAGGTGCAAAATCCTTTTGAATTTTGAATGCAGGTTGCTAATATTTTGTTAAGAAAATAGTATGCCTTGGGTTTCATCCCAGAAGCAAGGTTTGGTCAACATATGCAAATCAATAAACATAACTTTCCATGTAAATAGAATTAAGCAAAGAATCATATGATCATCTCAATGGAAGCAGAAAAAGTTTTGACAAAAACCCAGCACCATTCATGTTAAAAACATTGGAGAAACTAGGGATAGAAGGAACTTACCTGTACTTACCTCATATATAAAGATATATACAACAAACCCCAAAAGCAAAACTTATACTGAATAGAGAAAAACTGAAAGTATTTACTCTAAAATCAGAAAGAAGACAAGGATGTTCACTCTCATCACTCTTACTCAACACAGTTCTTCTGTAGCCAGAACAATTAGGCAAGTGTAATGGTTAATTTGAATTGCCATCTTGATTGGATTAAGAGATGCCAATGATTAAGAGGCTTCTGGGTGTGTCAATGAGGGTGTGTCTAGGAATGATTGGCATGTGGGATAGCAAACCAAAGTAGAGACCTTCCCTAAGCATGGGCAGCACCATCCAATAGGATGGTGGCTTGGATGGAATAAAAGTTGGAAGAACAAGGAAACAGCAGCAGATGCAATCTCCATTCTTCTTGATTGTTCTTGGTTGCTGCTGGGATCCATTGAGGGTATCCAACTCTTGCTTCTTCACTCTTTCAAAGCCAACCCTACCTGCAATTCTCCAAAAGCCTTTGGTCTTGGACTACTGTAGTACTTTTGATCCCTCTTGTTCTGAGGCTTCAGCCTCTTGGACTTTGTGGCTACTTGTTCCTCAGCCTGTAGATGATTTGTTTCCTGATTCTCTTAGTCTCTATTAGTTCACACCTTCCTTCATCACCCTCCATTACTTCTTTAACAAGTTATTCTAACCCCTGGATTCCTACACGCTAGTAGAGTTGGTGGCTTGATCAAGTTCAAACCCTCTTTCTCTGCACAGAAGAATTTGTAGGTGCCACTGTGCATCATTTTGAAGCACTGCTTGCTCCATGGTTAGTAATATCACTTTGGTTGCTGGGTGCACGTGATGTTAGGCAGATCTGTTCATAATAGAGTTGTATTGAGTTTAACCAGTAGGAGCAAAAATAGGTTTGTGTGTTGGGCATGGAGGCACATGCCTGTAATCCTAGTAATTTGGAGGCTGGGACAGGAGGTTAGCCTCAGAAACTTAGTGAGGCTATAAACAACTTAGTGAGACCTTGTCTCAAAAAAAATATATATATATATAAGGGACTGGAAATGTAGCTCAATGATAAAATACCCCTGGGTTCAATCTCCAATTAAAATCTCCAATTAAAAAAGTTTGTTACACCAAATTCCCCCCAGGTGACTGTGCAAAGGATGAGCTGATGAAGCAAGGCCAGTGGGAATCAGTTGAGTGGTCTAAGTGAAGATGAAATTATGACTCAGACACGGCAGGAGGGACGACACATAGAGTCTGCATTTGAGAGTCAGTAGACAATGGGTGTCTACTGGATGTAGGATAGAGGAGCAGAACACAGTTAATGAGTTGGCCTGTCATCCATTCCCATAGTTTAACATACCTACACTTGCTGATAGCTCCCGAATGTACATTTCTGACCTTAATCTTCTCCCTGAACTTCATACTCTCATATTCAATTACCTGCTGCACATCTTTACTGGAATCTCACACACCCATGTGCAAAAGCACACTCTCATTTTATCCACACAAATCTTCTCTCCCAGTGTTCTTCATTCTAGTTGTTCAGGCAAAAACAAAAACAAAACAAAACAAAAAACCCAAAAGCTGGAGTCTCCTTGTTTCTAATCTGTCATGAAGTTTTTTTTTTTTTTTTTTTTTGGTCAGCTTGACCTCCAAATTTAAACTGAATCTGAACACTACTAAGAAACTCTATCACTAACAGAATAGCCAAAATAGAGTCATCTTTCAGCTCATCCTAAGGTCTCGCTGTTTCCACTCTTGCAATAAGTAGTGTAGATAAGAGACCTAGAACCGAGGAATTAAACCTCGGTTAATAAGGAGAGGATGGCGCCTCTCCTTATTCCGCTTCAGTGCGAGGCAGAGATGAGTAGTATACATCCTCTTTTTTTCAACCATACTTTTCTTCTAGTCCCAAGGTATTAGGTACAATCCCTTCACGATTATGATATAGTAATTGCAAAAAATGCTCCCATTTCTTGACCTCTCCCTTCCTATGTGCTCTTTGCTATGTCATTTTGCAACGTTCTCCCACTGTCCCTGGGCTCAGCCAGGTGGCTTGCTTTAACCAAGGAAAGTCAGCTATACAATGCAGAGGCTTAAAAAATGCTCGGGCAATTAGGCTCGGTCTTCCATTCTTGCATATCGGCCATTAACATGAGAGCATCCTTGGACTAGTCTATCTGGGCGGGAGAGACAGGTG